GGCAACACCACCTCCCAGGCCTCTGCGGCTGCCTTCCTCCGGAGCTGGCGCACACAAGGCTCACCCTTTGCGCACGAGTCTGTGGAGAATCGCCCGCCCGCTTCCTCGCGCAGCCGCTGGTCGCTGTCGCAGAAGAGCAGCACCTCGACGGTGCCAGAGAGCGCGCTTGCCTCGGCCTGGAGCCTGTGCGATCGCTACGAGCAGGACCTGGATGTCATCCATATCAAGTACCGCTGGGCCATGGCTTTCCTCGGCAAGGCCTACACCGAGAGGATGGACCAGATTAAGGAGCAAGACGTCGCCCGCAGCAGGGATGCTAAGAACCGAGGCGGCAGGGGCAAGGTCAGCTCTGAGGCTATGGATGCCCTGCTGCTATCCGTCACCGCCACGTCGGACCGTCAGCAGCGACAGCGATTCAAGAGGCGGCTGCACCAGGCGCTTCGCTGGTACGAAGCAGCCAAGCAGCTGGGCTGGGGCATGCTCTGTCTGATGCCGCACGATGTCATCACCAACTCGTGGGTGGAGAACGATCTTCGCATCCGATACTGGCACATCTGGCTGGAGCTCGTAGTCAAGGTAAACCCTGGTGCTCACAAGGCGAGCAGAGCATTAGACGAGTGGCTGGGCTCAGAGGGCATCTCTGGCGGCTCTATTAGCGAAAAAGCAACGCTCTCAATTGAGGCAAGCGCGCCGGCGCCTGCGACGCAGGTGGAAGAGATAGAAGACAGCGAGCTGGAAGAGAGTGGAGATGGCAACAACAATAGCGTGGAGCCTACGCCCTCCCAAAGGACTGCAAAGAGCCCTGCCGCCGCCCGTGCAATGCGCCAGCTTACCCTACTTGAGCTCTTTAAGCCTTTTGCAGGCACATAGCGTGCTGTAATCAATTGCTCTGTGCTGTGCATTTCATGTGTTACCTTCTTCTGTTAGTTAACTTAGTGTTAACTACAGTGTTGTTATTCTGTATTCTGCTGCAGTTATTGTCCACGCTAGCACAACCCTAACTATGAACATCAAACCCTACCCCTATTAACCACGCAGCTGATTTTGCTACAACTTGCACAGGTAATACAGGTTAGTGCTACAAATTATACGTCCAAGTTTAAAGCAGATTAAGTCTGTTGTTGCAGAACAACTATAGTTAGGAGGAAAACTAACTGTACCCTGTGATGAGATATCCGCGCAAAACCTGTAGCCCTAGTCCCTAACAAATTTGCAACCCTAAATCAACCATAGGTACGGTTGGTTTACCCATCTTGGATAGAATCTAGGGCACTTGACCTGCTGTCTGCTCGCCGCAAAACAGCAGCTCCTCCACCAGTATTCGCTTGGCCTCAGCCTGCATACCGTGCACCATGCCGCGGAACTAGGCCATAGTGAAGTGCAAGTTCTTGTACAGCAGCTCATCCTTCCCCATCCACTCGACGTGGCCGTGCGACGTGGTGTTGTAGTGCACCTTCAGCCTGTACGTGCGCAAGTCGAGCATCCATTGCATTGGGCTGTGGCTCCCTCGCACCATGAATCTGTCCATCATCTGCTGCACGAACTCCAAGCAGCCTTTTGGTTGACGCTGACTGGGGGAACTGCTGCCGCTATCGCTCCCCCTGTACGCGCTGTTGTTGTCAAACGCCTGCTCTTTAAACAGCTTGGACAGCTCCAGTGCGTGCTGCACGACCAAGAAATGGCTGATTTTGATCACAGACAACAAGATTGGCAGGTACAGCTTGGGGCCCTTCCAGCCGTCCTCTTTGACGCCGAGCACAGCTAACGCGCACACCAACGCGCAGTCGTACTCCTTGCGGCGGATGGTCTGTTAGAGCAGCGCGATGCAAAAGTCTAAGCACGCTTTTTTAATCAGTCTTAGCTTCGCGTGCTTAGGCTTATTTTTGCATTTAGACGTGTTCTGCTTGTTGTTAAGCTTATTAATCATCATCTTGTCCTCCTCTTCCTCCCTGTCCTTGTCCTGGTCCCTGTCCACTATCTCTATATCTGCCCCGCCTACGTCTCTCTCTGCCTGCTCCATTAATGCCTCCCACGCCTCGCGCTGCTGCTGTGTGAAGCAGTACTTGGGGCTGTTCTAACAGTGCTCCCTCTGCGTCCATGCAAAAAACATCAGTATCTGCTTCTACAGGCGTGACCGCTCTTTGATCAACTTGTCATCTATGTACGCCTGTAGCAGCGTGTACCTAGTCTAGTGCTTCTCTGTACGAATGGCCTCTATGCGCATAAATATGCCTGTCCGCTTGATGACCAACGTCTGGCTCACGCAGGCCAGTCCATCCATCGCGCTCCAAATCGCAGCCTCAACAGGCTCCTCATCTTTCTCTAGGTCTATGTTGGGCTCCTCAATGCTCGCCAGCAATTTAGGACAATCTAGTTTGTTTAAGTACAGCAGCCACCCAGTCTGCTCCAGCCATAGAGCCGCCTTGTCCTTCTCCCTGTCTTTGATTGTTGTCTTCACTTAGTCCTCAACGTTGGCCTACGTCTTGGCCATCTCCTCGCCCACGCGCGCCCACGCCACCTCGCCCTTAACAGGGACAGGTTGCAGACCACTGTCTAGGTTGTGACACACCTTAAAGTATTATAATCTGTGCCAACTGCTAAACAGTTGTTGGCAGTATACACGCTTGCAGCCATCTTTAAGCTGGGCCTGTAACGTCTTTGCCTAGGTCTGGCTAGGGCGTCTGCATTTCTTTCTAGCTAACTACCTATGTGTTATACGCCAATGTTCTTTCAGCGTCTTTAGGCTGCGGAACACTAGTTGGCATGTCTCTAGTTTAAGTTAACACAGTAGCCTGTTGTTGAATACAGGCAGCTGGGGGATTGCCTGCACGCTGTTGCTGGGTATCTCCAACTCTGTGGGGTACTGTAGCAAGCCTGCCCACTGACGTACAGCTTCTCTAACTGCTTTGACGCTTTTAAGTGACTTCTTGTGCTGTTTGTGCAAGTGGCTCTCAATCTAATCTAGCTATACTGCGTATCAGCACGCTCTGCACACCACGACCTGGTACTCAGTCAAGTGCTCAAAATACAGATTCTTAACTTCTTCTGCCAACATGTTAGTGGCTTAGTTCTTGCTTAATCTAACACTGCAGTTGCTGTTCTTATTGCTAGGTTATGTTAAGTTTCACACCCTAGCCTCTGCGTCAGCTTATAATGTACAGACTAATCTCTATTTAGGCTGTTACCCTGGTCTAGGGGCTTAGCACAACATAACTGCTTCTTCTTTCCCCTCCTCTTCAACGTCAACAAACAAACATGTCGCTATCTAATCTGCTGTGGATCTCCGCGCTGGAAGATGCCGCCAAGCAATTCGATGGCGGGCCTCGGAGCTTCCCCTTGGCCAGCGAGTCTAGCTTTGCCCACAGGCTCGCATACGACCCGCCGAACCTGGACTACCAAAAGCTGTTCTAGAGCAGGGCGACTGTCTCAAACTCGCAGCGTAATGCTCTACTCCGCCTGCACAGCGCAGGCTGGCTAGTTCCAGACAAGACGAGTGTCTGCAAGCCTGTCTTTGTCGCCCACTCTGTGCTGTTGGTGATATGGCTGTTGAGGGAGACGCTCGCCGAAAGCGCGTTGCCTGCTGATACGTGGGCGCGGCTGGTCTCTGCAGCGCAGGACCTTGCTGACAGCGTGAGCGACAGCTTTCAAACAGAACCCCCTTCAGCGCAGCAGCCCCACAACTCCCCACCGCGGTTGACAAAGCGCGCTGCTGCGTTGAGTTCGGCGCTGCTGTCGAAGCGTCTCCAGCTAGCCACCAAGCCTCTCAGCCTAACAACGCCGCAGCTGTCAAGGTCAAACGAGTCTGACAGGTTGGAGGAGCCTGAGCCTGAGGAGCCTGTCTGTGAACAGATCAGCCAGGAGGAACCCGCCCAGATCACGACCATCACCAACAAAAATCGCCGTGCTGAGCGAGAGCGCGCCAAGAAGCTGGAGCTCATGCGAGCGCAGAAGAAGCAGGACCTTGGATTGGTACTGCCGCCTGAGTTGGCATCTCGTAGGGAACACGGTGCCTATGCCTCCATCTCGCGCCAGGACGAGCCGTTCATTTCATGGATCCTCAAGCAGCCAGTGGACGACGACGACAACCTGTACAGCAGCGCCACAGCGCCTTACCTGACAGCTTCTGGCATGCTTGACAAGGCCCGCTCCATTGGCAATGCTGCTTCCCAGGTCTCAGCTGCTGCCTTCCTGCGAAGCTGGCGTATGCAAGGATCGCCTTTTGCGCAGGAGCCTGGGGAAACCCGCCCGCCCGCTTCCTCCCGCAGCCGCTGGCAGCTGTCGCAGAAGAGCAGCGCCTCGACGGTGCTCCAGAGCGCGCTCGCCTCCGCCTGGAGCCTGTGCGATCGCTACGAGCAGGAGCTGGACATCATCCACATCAAGTACCGCTGGGCCATGGCTTTCCTTGGCAAGGCCTACACTGAGAAGATCAACCAGATCCAGGCGCAGGACGCGGCGAGGCTGAACAACAAGGGCAACAACTAATACGGCAAGGGCAAGGTCAGCTCCAAGGCCATGGACGCCCTGCTGCTGTCTGTCACCGCCGCTTCAGGGCCTGAGCAGCGACAGCGGTTCAAGAGGCGGCTGCACCAGGCGCTCCGCTGGTACGAAGCAGCCAAGCAGCTGGGCTGGGGCATGCTCTGCCTGATGCCGCACGACATCATCACCAACTCGTAGGTCAAAAACAATCTTCGCATTCGCTTCTGGCACATCTAGCTTAAGTTGGTTGTGAAGGTAAATCTAGTCGCTCACAAGGCTAGCGGAGCATTAGACGACTGGCTTGGCTTGGAGGGCATCTCTAGTGGCTCTATTAGTGGGAAGGCAACACTGTCTATTAAGGCAAACTTGCTGGCACCTGTGACGCAAGTGGAGGAGATTAAAGACAGCGAGGTGGAGGACAGCAAAGGCGGCAGGGACAAGGATGACGTTGAGCCTGCGCCTGCCTAGAAGACAGCGAAAAGCCCTGCGCCCATCTGCCTGATGCGCCAACTTACTTTGCTTGAGCTGTGTAAGCCTTTTCAAGGCAAATAGCGTACTATAATTTTTTATTCTGTGCTGTGTAGTGAGTGTGTTTACTTCTTGTGTTGGTGTTTGCAGAGTTGTTCTGTTGTAGTGATGTAGCGTGGCCCTAGTCCTCCACGCACTAGCCTAACCCTAACTAACCCTAACTACAAGCACCAACCCCAACACCACCAACCAAGTAGACAATAATGCTAGGGGTTGCATGGATAACAAAGTTGAGTGCTGTGAGAGCGTTGTCCACGTTTCAGCTTAGACAGACTTGAAAATAGAATTCTAGTGTACAACTGAATAGTATTCCAGCGTACGTTGTGACTGAAAATACGCTAGTGTCCTATAGCTGTTGTCACTAACAAAACCAAAGCTGTAACTCCAGTGAAGGTACACTGCAACTACCCATTTAGGATAGAAACATGCCTATTGCCTGCACGTCCAAGTTGTCACTCTTCTGCTTCATCATCTGCTCAACCTCGCCCTGCTCTACCAACACTACTGAATCCACCCTTTCGCCAGCTCGCCCCCCACGCCCACTCTCCTGCGCGTAGTCGATCATGCTCCACGGCATCCTCACGTGCAGTATGAACACGATCCTGGGGAAGTCTACCCCTGTGCCTAGCGCTGACGTCGCTGTCATCAGCCCTCCTTCTATCAACCACTGCTTCACTTAGTCCTCACGGTCGGGCACGTCGGCGTGATAGCACCCACACCCCAGCACCTCAGCTAGCTCTTCACACTGCTGCTT